TCTTTTATATAGCGGAAGCCGTTGGTTAGGGTTCTTTGTTTTGTGACGTTCAGTATATAATATTTATCAGTATATTTTGTGAAAAGAGTTCCGTCTTCGTCGTCTTCCAATGCGCCTTCCTCAATGACAAAAACCCTACCCTCATATATGTTTCTGTAATATAGCGCCTCTTCTAGACTGTTGAAGGATATTGACTTTTGTTTTTTGTTGGTGGATTTCTCTAATAATCCGAAATTGACATTGGCTATTGTTTTTTTGATTTTGGCGTCTTGTTTGGGCTTATCGCTTATTTTGGTAATCCAGAGCTCAGAGACGATATTTTCATAATCCACTTCGTGAATGTGCGACGGTTGCTTGTGGTAGTGTATTTTTACAGTTTTTTCTTCAAGGCGTTTAAGAAACATTCCATATACGAGGTTGAACTTTTTGTTGAAAAAAAGGTTGCCCTTTGATGCTTCCACTAGGTATAGGTTTAAACCTTGTAATTCTTCATTTTGGTAAGGCTTCCATATATCAAACTCGGTAAAGACTGGTATGTGTGTAATTTTGGAAAAGGCTTTTGTGAAAGCTTTTGTTCTGTCAATTTCTACGGTCTCGTTTGTGGAGTTGTTTTTGAAATATCCGCTTGGCACTATGGTTCGGCATTCATCTAAAATATCTATGTCTGTCTGGCTATAATAGGACTTGTGGGCATCGTTGAAGATTTTCTTATTGAAGTTAAACATTTCTCGGTTCATATCGTTAAAAAGCTTTTCATTTTCTACTGATACGTCTTCGTCTATACTGTGGGTTGATAAGTTTTGTAGCTTGATTGTGTAGGTGATTTCTTGCTTTTTGCTTTTTATCTTCCAATTTACTTTCAGTTCTGTCATCGTTCCCGCTTGATATTTGATGAAGGGCTCGTAACCTGCCATTTTTAGTTCATGGAAGAGTTTTACGAGGTCATTATCTTTATGAACTAATGTATATTCTGCTTTTTCTGTGTATTTCAAAAGGTCGTTTGCTGTCTCTATCATATGGCATTCAGGGGGCTCTTCCCTGTCGCTTATGTAATAGTTGCTACTGATTTTAAGCTTGAAGTCTTCTCGGGTGGTGTTGATGTTCATTGTTTTTTTGATGCTTTTCAGGTCTCTGTTTATGGTGTAGACGTGGTTGTTCTTGATGAGCCCGAAGAAGCCTTTCGTGTGTTTATGGTAGTTGGGCGGGTCAAAGGAATAGATAAGCTTCCCGTTGAAGTCAAAAAGACGTGCTGTTATGTTAAATGCCTTGAAGACGTTTTCCATTTGCGTGGTGGTTGCACCTTTGTTTTTAAACTCTTCTTCTGTTGTGTGTAGAAGTTCTAACATATGTTGTCGGGTTAAGGTTTTTGAATGCGAGCCTCGTTTGTGTGTCATAAGGTCGGGGTAGTGGTCTAGAAGAGAATTTATCCAACATTCGTTGTCTGTGTAATGTTTTTTAGCGAGTGCTTCTTTTATTGTTGAGTAGCTGGGGTCAATCTCAGTTTCTATATATTTGTTATATATGGATATGTTTGTAGCATCTCGTAAATTTTGATTTTCCGGCGGTTGTGCTTCACCTTCTGCGATGTTAGCACTTTCAATTCTTATAGCGTCAATGTATTGATACATATCGCCCCGAGCCATCTCGTTAAATTCTGGGTCTGTTCTTAATATTAACATAAGGCGCTTGAAAAGGAATTTGTCAAATTGTTTTGTTATTCTCCGTTTTATGACGGTCTCTATAAAGTCGTTTGCTTTTACTTGCGCTTCTCTCTGTGCTGGATTAAGTAGCGGATAATAATTTCTGCCATTGACTTCAAAAGCTCGTTTTTTTCCCGAGCGGTTCTGTGTTGAAAGAAGCATATATTTAATGGAATACGTTTTGCGATTTTTGAAAAGCTCCTTTGTTTTGGATACGACATTTCTTAAAGGTTGTTTTCCGAAAATGCGCCGTAAAACTTTTATCTGCTTTCCTTCCCTAGCTTTTTCGGCTGTTTTGTTCATTCGTTCCGATAACGGGGCTTTTGCTTCAAACTTTTCTATGGCTTTTTCAGCTTTTTTAATGCCTCTTGTTTTTTCTTTTTGGGTTCCCGTGGTCATTTCGTTAATGAGTTTTTCGGCTGTTTTGAAAATTGAAAGTTGGCGGTTCTCATATAAATCAACAATTTGATTAACTTTGGTAATAACGTTTTTAGGTGCTTTTGTTTCTATTAATCGTTGTCTCTTGTTGTTTAGGTGTTTGATATTGTCACGTATAGCCTTTCTAGTCATAATGTAATCTAGATTAAAATATATTGTTATTATTTCTTTAAATAGTTTCTCCTTATTCGCCTGTTTTGATTTTGGTTTTGCTGGTCTTTGTTAAATGACTTAAAGACAAAACGCCTATATATAGTAAGCATAAAATGACTGCAATGAAGAAGCCCGAGGATTTGACACTGGACGAAGTTAGGGAGCAAATGGCACTGTATCAGAGGTTATATTATAAGTTGAGAATGCAAGACCCCGATTATGCAACTGCATTAAGGGAAAGGAAAAGGTTAAGCAAGCAACGGATTAAGGAAGCGAAGGGAGGACAACCTAAAATGCTTCCTAACCAAAAATATAGTATGGAGAATATGGCTGTTATTAAGCCGAATAAGGTTGAAGAATAGAAATGGTTGTTATAATTATTATTATAACAATTATTTTTGGACGAGAGGGGGAGTTTGAGCTCGGAAAAATATGGCTTATGAAGATTTTGGATGTTTTTGAGCCAAAAATGTTCTGTCTCTTCTTTCTCTTCGGGTTTTGTAGGGGAAAAACCTATTCAACCCTATTTTTTTGAGGTTTTAGGGAAAAAACAATCCTAAACCAACCTAAACCCTAAAAAAGATATTGAGCCTTCCGAGGCTGTCGCAATGCTTCTGTTGAAGCAGTCGGATTCCCCTTTGTCCGTTCCAGTTCTGATATGGTTGTTCGCAGTGCAAACAAAAGCCCTAAACCCTAAACCCTAACCCTAAACCCTAAAACTAACCCATAAAACTAAGCCCTAAACCCTAAACCCTAAAAGGGCGCACCGAAGCGTGGAAGTCGCTGTTGCGAATGTCGTTGATGTAGAGCTTGACCTGTCGCGCACACAGTAGCCGTTCTCAAAGGGTTTAGGGGTTAGGGATTTAGGGGCTTCCGCACTCACAAACTGCCAAAACTGCTTCCAAATCTGCTGGTGCATCAACACTGGCTCTCAACTCTTTTTCTGTCAGCTCAGGTGTGGTTGAATGCCAAGATTTCCCCCAATGGTGGAAAGTCCTCCCCCCTTGTAAATGTGCCTATTTTAAAGGAGTTTTTAAGAGCTTCCCCCGATGGGGGAAGGAATTTCCCCCGATGGGGGAAGGAATTTCCCCCGATGGGGGAAGGAATTTCCCCCGATGGGGGAAGGAATTTCCCACCACAGGCAGAAGGCGTCAGTCTGCCATTTCCATAGCTTCCATAAGGGAAGACAGCTCATCTTCGTGAGCCGACGATGCAGAAGACTTGCGAAGCAACATCTCATCTTCAATGGCACGCTTAATGCCCTGCCAGTTCCAAGAGGATTGGGAGGGGTTGAAGAAGGCTCGGGTTGAAATCAGGTCTGCTGTGAGACTGGCGCTCTCAACTATCCCGCTCATCTCTTGGAAGGTGGAGTGGAGCTCGGAAAAGCACTCGCGAACAAGCAACTTGTAGAGATTTTCAAGGCGGAGTTCACCCTTGTTAGAGCCCTTCAAGACATCAAGAATCTCGGAGCTGTCCTTGTCCCCGAGGCACTTGTTGGAAATGCGCCCGAGGAGCATTTTGAAAGCCTTTACGGGGTTCTCTTCGCTGATGTCGTAAAGGGCACGAAGCAAACGAGAGACATTGTCAATCAAGCTTGGAATATCGGCAAACTTCTCAATGTGGAGCTGTGCGCACTTCTTGGCGATAGCTTCCTTGCGCTCCGAAACCATCCCCTGCTTCACGATAGCACCGTCCTTCTTGGTCTTCTTGCCACTGCCAAACATCAGGAAGGCGAGGTTAAGGATGCCCGAGCCGTCCTCGGGAATTTTAAGCTCGTCAAACAGCTCCCGCTCATTGCGCAGGTGGTTGCCATTGAAGAGCAACGCCATCTCAACGCTGATGATTTGAATACGTCCTTGCATCATCTCTTTCACGTTGCTGATGGTGGTGTAGTGATTGACCTTGAAATTGTGATACTGCATATCAGCGAGGTTCAGGACGCGGATGTCAATGTTGTAGGAGTCGTCGCCGTCCGAATCCACTTCAAGCTGGAGAGTGCGCGGGTTGCCTAAATCTATCAGCAAGATGTCTTCATTAGCAAGTTGGTTGCCATTGAGAAGAAGCTCTTGGCAAGAAGGGTAAAAGGCTGGACGCGCACCATAAATCACATTCTTCAACGAGCTAATGAAAGTCCATTCGCTCACTCTGACTTTGAAGCTTTGCGCGTGAGCTTCGGTGACAACCACGATTTCAAGGTCGTAGGTGCTGGAATCAAAGGGACGTCCGTGACCATCGCCTTCGTCATCAGGAGAGTCGTCGCTGTCTGGGTCGTCGTCGCCACCGCCACCACCAGAGCGAAGCTTCTTGGACTGCCTCTTTGCGCGACTCAGCGTTTCCACACGAAGTTTGAGAGTGTTGTTCTCGCTCTTCAACTCTTCAAGCTCACGGCGCATCTTCACAGCCCAGTGCTCACGAGCAGGAGCACTCACGGGCTCAGGCTCGGAAGAAGACTTCACTTCAAGCTTCTTGGTGTCGTAGCCAACAGAAGACGGAGGGAGCTTGTGCTTGAAAGGGCTTTCGGTGAAGGGTCTTGAAGACATTGCGAGGAGCAACTACGCACGAAAGTTCAGGGCAAATGCTAGTAGCAAAAACGGCGCTGATGAACGACACTCTCAGGCTACCGTGCTCTGGCAGGTTCTCACAAAAAAGCCCTTGCACTAACGACAGTGAAAGCAACCGCATTTTTCCGCTTCAAGCCTTCGTCTGTTTCTAGTTGCCTTCGGCAGGAGCAACCACAGCCTTCGCTTTGGCTTTTGACTTCGGGGCAACAGGCGCACTAGACCGCATATACGATTCAATGTTCCGCTCTACGCGCAGACCTCGCAGGCGAGATGCCTCAGGATAGGAAAGGTCATCAAAAGTCGGCTGAGGCGCGGCAGGTTGGTATCTATCGCCCTGATCCAACAAATGGACGACGCAACCCTTTCTCGGAATCAATGTTGAAAGCCTTTTGGAGTTGTTTTCCATCTCACCGATGCCTTCAAAGATGTAGAAGACGTGCCACCCGATACCGAATGCCGAGGCGATTGCAACTTTGAGGGCTTTGAGCGTCCAGAACGGCTCGGCATTGATTGTAGCAAACAGGTTCTTGTATGTAGCCATTACAGTGAAATCACGAGCATTGAGAAAAGCAAGTTGCTTCTTTGCTTCATACATCTTCGCTTCACCATCCACAATGAACCGTTGAAGCATCGCCTGTGTTTCGGCGTTGGAAGGAAGAACTATGCTGTGTTGCCACCCATCACGAATGACAAACGACAGGGCTTGGCTTCTACGAAGCTCCGCGAAGTAAAGTGCCTTGTAATCGGGCTCTGCGTCGGACATTGCTTCAATCTATGGCGTAAGGCTTGATATTTCACAGGCTTCGGATTCCAAAAATGTGTTGCTGATGGCTTTCACTGGCAATCAGAAATCCTGCTTATGGATAAACTCGCAAGGCGCACGGTGCAGATGTTGTAGAGCTCGTTGAGGAAATCGGAAGAGCTTCACGCCCGGGTTCGTTGGGATGGGGTTTGGGGAAGATTTTGGGTTAGGAGCTTTGGTAATGGGGGTTTGGGTTGATAGGAGAATTGGTAAGAATGGTGGTTAGGATAATTGATTGAGGTCTTTTGGATGTTGAGGGTATAGGATAATTGGGTAAGAATGGTTATGAGGTTTGTTGGGTAGAATGGTTTTATGAAGGTATGTTGGGGTTGGCGGGGGAGGGTAATGGGGGAACGAGGGCGTGAACGTGTCTAGCTCTTGAACCCTCAACCCTCAAACCCTTAAACCCTGAACTTAAAACCCGAAACTCCTTATATAGACTCTCAGACCCTGAGCCTGAATCCCCAAGACCTTATACCCTCAAACCCTCAGGGCCCAAACCCCAAAAAAACCCTAAAACCCCGTATGCCTAAACCCAAACCTAACACCACCCAAAAACCCAAAACCCCGTAAGCCCTAAACCCCAAACCCAAAGCCCCAAAATCCCCCAAAACCCTACAACCCCCTCTGAGCCCTAAACCCTACACCCAAAAGCCCCAAAAAACCTATTTCCACATGAGCCCTGAGCACTAAACCCGCAAACCCGCAAACCCCCTAAACCCTAACCCTCACGCGAAACCCTAAACCCTAAACCCTAAACCCCACTCCCTAAACCCTAAACCCTAAACCCTAAACCCTAAACCCTAAACCCTAAACCCTAAACCCTAAACCCTAAACCCTAAACCCTAAACCTCAAACCCTAACCCTAAATCCCAAAACCCCAAAACCCTGAACCTTTAAGACCCCCCCCTCGCCCCCACACAGTCCAGCGGGATACGGTTCGGCTCGTAGGTGGCACCTTGCAGAGTTTGGGGTTTAGGGTTAGGGTTTAGGGTTTAGGGTCTAGGGTTTAGGGTTTAAGGTTTAGGGTTTAGGGTTTAAGGTTTAGGAATAAGGGTTTAGGGTTTAGGGTTTAGGGTTTAGGGCTTAGGGTTTAGGGTTTTAAGGTTTAGGAATGAGGGTTTAGGGTTTAGGGTTTAGGGTTTAGGGTTTAGGGTTTAGGGTTTAGGGTTTAGGGTTTAGGGTTTAGGGTTTAGGGCTTAATGCTTAGGGTTGATTCTTAAGGGCTTGGGGTCCACCGGGCTCTGGCTTGAAGGTGCATGGGCCGAGGTTCCGAGCAACTTGTGTTGTACTTGGCTCTAAACCCAGTCTTAGTTGTCCAGTACCTAGGGGTTTTAAAGGTTAACCTTTGGGATTATAAGGGGAATATATTAACCCAAAAAGGTTAAAGGTTATCTACTCTACTACTAAGCAGTGAGGGCGCTGAGAACCTTCTGGCTGCCCGCGAACCTTCAAGCAGGGCTTTTGCTTGCAATCATTCGGGTGCTGAGGGTCTTTTTTGATGAGGAACGAAAACACAACACCCTAAAGGTCCCAAGGCCAAATTGACATAAGCAGCAACACTCAAGGGATCTTAGAATAGATACATGGCCCCTTAGTATGGGAGAAAAGGGGACCCCTTCTATACCCCTTAGACAGCCCGAGGGCCCATACTTCAGGACCCTGTAAGGGACGTGGGACCACATTGAGGGCCCGTGAAACTACCCCTACACCCTGAACCCTAAACCCTAAACCCTAAGACCTAAACCCTAAACCCTAAACCCTAAGAGGGGAGAACCAAAGCTGGGTGCCTATTCAACTCGAACTGCCATGCTGGAGCGGCCGAATCCTATTCTGACCTCTGTGGCGGTTTGTGGCTTTGGGGGGTTTAGGGTTTAGGGTTTAGGGTTTTGGGTTTTAGGGTTTAGGGGGGCTGGAGCCCTCGCCTTCGCTTGGGGCTGACCCTGCGCCTGGCTGCTGCCCCTGGCCCTGCGCGGGAGGAGCTGTCTCACTCACGGGCTGCTGCCACTGACTCTGACCATCGGATCTCGACCGTGTCAGCTGCCCCACCACTGCGAATCCCAGGTGCCATCAAAACAACCAACCCAGGCACCATCCCAGGCACCATCACCGGCATCCTCCAAGCCATCACTACCACCTGGCTGACCCTGGCGCCGGTTTCGCAACTATCTTCCATCAGCCAGTCACTGACCCGGCAATACCTTACTCAAGAGTCACCTGGGAATGCAAAGGGTTTAGGGTTTAGGGTTTCAGGTTTAGGGTTCAGGGTTAAGGATTTGGGGGTTATAGCTTAGGGTTTAGGGTCTACTTTGGGTCCTAGTCTGGTTGTGCTTGGGGTTTGGGGTGTGGGGCTTTGGACGAGGTCGGCCTTGAAAGGGTCTGAGGTTTAGGGTTTAGGGATGGTGCTTGGGGTTTAGGTCTTGTGTTTTCTCCAAATGGGTAGTTTTCTAAACTAGGGGTGCTGTTTAGGGTGCTCGTTATACGGTATAGGGGACCCAAAAATGGACCCTAGTTTAGAGAACTACGCCAAAAAAACCTAAACCCTAAACCATTGAAATGTTTGTGAATATCAGGGATTTACTGGCAGCTGAGGCACCTCCCGGGCAGGTCGTGCCATTGGCTCTGAGCTCATTCACCTCAGCTGGGGTTAGGGTTTAGGGTTTAGGATTTAGGATTTAGGGTTTAGGGTTTAGGGTTTAGGGTTTAGGTTGCTTTGCTCCTGGGGTTTGGCCCTTTCGGGGCTTTAGGGCTTCATGGCTTCAGGGCTTAGGGCTTAGGGTTTAGCCTTTAGGGTTTAGGGGTTAGGTCCTAGGCTGCCCAGTAACCTAGGCTTTAAAAGGGTGCCCTTTTTTGCTTAAAGGGGTTGATAAGGGAACCTAACCCCCCAAAACGGGAACAAGGGTACTACTGGGCATCCTAGGGTCTTCTAGGGTCTGGAGTTCCTGTTAACCTACGCTGGACACACCTTTTCAGGGCACCAGCTGCGGGCTTGTTGGCAACCTCCCCCCCCCCCCGGGGCAAACCTCGCAGGACCGGTGGTTGACAAGTGAACTCGGGCAACTGAGGGTTTGGGGAATCGGGGTTTAGGGGTTCAGGGGTTTAAGGGTTTCTGCGTGTAAGGGTTTAAGGGTTCAGGAGTTCAGGGGTTCAAGAGGTGGGGTTCAGGGGTTCCGCCAACGTGTGTAGCGGATGTTCGTCACCTGGCAGGCTCGAAAGCTTGCCATTGCTTGGTTCCTCATGTTTGCTCAGCCGCGGGCTAAGAGGCTTCATGAACCCAACACTTCGTCCCTGGCCCTGAACCCTAAACTGTAGTCTGTCAAGTTTGGCAAACGCCCTAAACCCTGAAACCTTAACCCTTTAAACCCTAAACCTTTTAAACCCTAAACCCTTTAAACCCTAAACCCTAAACCCTGGACCCTAAACCCTAAATCTAAACCCAAAAAAGAAACTCTAAACCCCAAACCCCAAACCCCAAACCCAAAACCCAAAACCCGAAACCCTAAACCCTAAACCCCAAAACTGCGAGACGACTGAGTGCGGCGCCAGCTCAAAATGCCTCCACTCCCGCTCCTCCACTATGGCCTTGGAACGGGGCTGAGTCCTGAAACCCTACTTTAGGGTCTAGGGTTTAGGGTTTAGGGTTTAGGGTTTGGCGTGCTTGTACTTGGAGGTTCATGGTACTTATTGACCGATTAGAACTGTACTTGTAGCTGTACTTATAAGCATATTGGGACACTTAAGGGGCTCATAAGTGGGCTATAATTGGCTAACAAGTAACATGAGCCTCCAAGTACAAGCCCCAAATCCGAAACCCTGATAACCCAAGAGCCCAAACCCGAAACCCGAAACCCGAAGCCCTAAACCCAAAACCTAAAACCCTAAACCCTAAACCACGCTGGGTTTAGGGCTTCAGGCTCAGACGCCGGGGGATGAGGGTTCAGGCTTCAGGGTTTACAGGGTTCAGGGTTTTACCCTAAACCCTAAGCCCTAAGCCCTAAGCCCTAAGCCCTAAGCCCTAAGCCCTAAGCCCTAAGCCCCACGCCCCAAGCCCTAAGCCCTAAGAGCCTGAACCTTTAGACTCAAGGAGCTTCTGAGAAGGCGCTTGAAGGAGTTTGGGGGTTCAGGGAGCTTCATGGTTTGAGGCGTTGTTTTGGCAGGCTCAAGGAGGTTTAGGTTTAGGGTTAAGGGCTTAGGGCCATTTTTCAAGGGTTTAAGAGGCTTGCGACTATCACACAAGCTGCCCCTACTTACAAGCCCTCGGTATTGCAAGGCATGTTCAAAGAACTGACCACGTGGGGCTTTGCCCAGAGGGTGCATTAGTAAGTTAGAATGATTTTTGGGAATTCACCCTGTGCGTAGGGTCCGAAGGAAGGCAAGCGAGCAGCCGCGGGCACCGTTTTGCTGGTGGTCGTCGTGGTCGTTGTCGCGACGGTGGTGGTGGTGGTCGGGACGTATCCTGGGCATCGGCGAAGAGAACAAGCCGAAACCCGAAACCCTAAATAAACTAGGGCTTCGGGCTCATGTCGGCTTAGCGCTTTGAGCCAGTGCATTAACAAACTCTAAAGTCCCTAAGCCCTTTACCAACTAAACCCTAGGAGCTTCGGATTTAGCATTAGAGTTAAGGTTTAGGGTGCCAACTCTTCCGAGAGCGAGATGGAGGCTTCCCCGCAGGCTCGAGACCTCAAACTCCCCAAAAATGCGGCTCGGGTTTAGGGTTAAGCTCCCCCTACCATCTTGACACCAACTAGCTTTCACCCGCACCACCAAACCCTGAATCCTGAACGCTAAACCCTAAACCCTAAATAAACCCTGAACCCACAGGAATTTGTTCTGTCCGTCGGACCTAGGGCTTGCAATGCCAAAGGTTCAGTCTCGAACCTGCGAGGAGAAGAATGTTCAGGGTTTAGGGTTTAGGGCTTAAGGCTTAGATTCTTGGAAGGAATGATTTAAGTATTTCTGAT